ATATGTCTTTTGCAGCAATTTCTTCAGCAGGAATGAACTTATACACAGCACACAGAAACCTTCTAAAGAGATATTTTGACTTCACCATTCAGCAACCATTCTCCCTTGTGGCCTTGCAATTGACAGAGATCATTTCTCAGTTTTGACAGGAAAACAAACTTTAGATAGGAGAACAAAAGTTAAAGTGAGTTTCCACTTTTGGATGTGGTAACAATTACTATGTCATCATATTAATTTCTCCTCTCTGTTATGGGTACATTGGAAGATTTCCCAGTACTCCTGTAGGAAAGTGGGACCATGTGCTAATTCTGGCCAATGCCCTAAGAGTGGAAAATGACAATGTGTCACTTTCAGTTCAAGAGAGTTAAATGACAGTGTGCCTTCTCCATTGCTCTCTTCCTCTGCTGCAGCAACTCTAGAAGTAGCATGTTGAGATGGCAGCAACCTAATATGGTGGAACCTCTGACAAGCTGGTGTCCCCACAGCACAGCCCCCACCTAGCCCACATCATTCCTGTAGCACATACAAGAAATAAAACTTTGTTAAGTCCAAGTTTTGGAGGCTTATTACCTACCTGGACTTATAACTGAGTTTTCTGAAGCAGCTTACCCCAGAGGGGAGAAGCAACAAGAGGGCCATTGTCTGATAGAAGGTCTCGGTTCTGTCCCTGACTAGTTATCTGACCTTGTCACTTCACCTCTCTGAACATCCCTTTCTGAATCTGTAAAACGAGGATCTTGGACTACATTCAATTCAACAAGTGTTTATTGAATATTTGATATTTGTAAGATGCCAGGCGCTGGGCTAGGTCTTAGACACTGGGTCATCATAAACATTCTTTCCAGGTCTCTAATTTCACACCAGGAAATCTCAATCAGCTGGCCTTTACATCACCCAAACATGCTGAATATGAATGAGGAACGGCACCAAGTCCACTTTTATTTAGACCACTATTATTATATAGAGGTCTATATGATATAGTCCACTATTATTTAGATAATAATAAAGCCTGTATGTGAATGAATTCCCCTCTGTAGGGAAAAATCACAAGCACTTTCACTCCTTCTTATCATTTCCTTTAAACTCATTCTGTAAACTGGTTCTTCCCCACTGCTGGATGATGCTTTAGGAAAGTACCTTTTCATTCACAAGAATAATCACATTTAAGGAATTAAAATGTTCAGGACAGTGTAATAATCACAGTCCCTCGGTCCTGGAATCCCGCAGAGCAGATTACAGCAAAGGCATGGCAGGAGGTGTTGATCAGTATCTCTGCCCCACCATCACACTAGCTGATGTCTGTGAGCCCAGGGAGGGCAGAGTTTGGTGAAAAGAGGTTTTCATGGTAGGCACATCTGTGATCTGTCTTTATTGCCTCTGGATGTGTGGGGCCTACAGTTTTCTGGTTATTTCTAGTGCAGATTCCTCAGAGGCCCTACCCTCTATTGGAGGTTCCCTTTACTGGACCAGGGGGTTGAGGAAGGCTTGGAGGATTCATTCTCTTACTGGTTGACATTCTCTCAGCTTATGGACATTCTCCCATCATCTACTCCCTCTGGTAGGGTCACTTCTTCACCCCAGGCTGGTTCCCTTCCATATAGGTCCATATTGGTTTCTGGAGAACACACACCACTAAAAGTGAAAGCACAGGGCTTCCCTGGTGGCACAGTGGTTGAGAGTCCGCCTGCCGATGCAGGGGACATGGGTTCGTGCCCCGTCCGGGAGGATCCCACATGCCGCGGAGCGGCTGGGCCCGTGAGCCATGGCCGCTGGGCCTGCGCATCCGGAGCCTGTGCTCCGCAATGGGAGAGGCCACAACAGTGAGAGGCCCACGTACGGCAAAAAAAAAAGTGAAAGCACAGAAACCTCTTTGCCGCCATCAGGCAGGGCAGCTTCAAGCAGTCACGCAATGATAGGTTTTTTGGTGAAGGTCAGACTTCAGTCTTCTTTCCTTAAGCTTCTTTAAGCATACCAAGTTTTCTTCTCTGAGTGATTCTCCTTTCAGCATTTCTAATTTGGTTTTCATGGGGAGGAAACCATCATCTTCTTTCTGCCATTGGTGGGGGCAGGCAGGGGGAAGCTGGCGGTCTTGAATATTTACAACTCTCCAAATAAATCCTTTCTCCCAAGGTCTCTCTACCACAACTCTTTTATACTCTCAAAGTAAGTGATAGAAACTATCTTGTTGGAAAACTAATTTATAATCTCTTGGGACCTCCAGTGTGAGCTAACCTTGTGCTTTCGGATATTCTGTAGGGTTACTGGACACCTATCATATTGTTCTTGTCTCAAAACTGAGACATAAAGAGTGCTATTTTGACATTCAATTTATAATACTAACTAACATATATGTACATGAATTTCACAAACTTATTTGGAGGCAGGCTGGTATAAAGAAAAGAACACACCTTCTAGTATTGGAGAGAATCTGGTTCAAATTTGACCTCTGCCACTTAGCAACTCTGTGTCACATTCCTCTTCTATTAAATGTAGATATCTAACTTCACAGCATTTCAAGAATTAAACCAGATGATAAGTAAATGTAATAACATTACTGACTCACTGTAGGGAGTCAACAAATCCACTTCCTTAATCCCTCCCAAGTTTCTGTGAGGTAGACATTGTGACCACCAATCCCCAATGACATTAAGTCAGGAACTGAATGACAGAGGCCATTCTCAAACACAGGCCTTCTCACTTCAAGTATCACTCTTTTTTACCACATCAGTTTGCCTTTATGTAAGAAAGCTTGAGACTGTGATAGATGCTACAGAGAAACACCCTTCTCCACTGGCTATTTGCGGTCTGTAAAACGTACTAGAGATGATGGAAGACGAATTCCTAAAGCCGCTCGGGTAGTTCCTCGGTGGTTTAGATATGCATCATGCATCCTGACCGAGCCAATTTGTGTTCAGAATTTTGATTAGCTAGCAAATTCACAATAATTTGAAAATCAGTCAAGAGTCACTTCACAGCTCTGGGGACGACTGTTGACTATATTTATAGACTGGTGTGCATAGAGCACGATTATTTGTCAAGTTTCAAATGCCATCATTAAAGTGTATAAATTTTTGCACTTGGGATGTTCAAAGTCTTCACATTTGTAGGTGTCTTCATTCAATAAAGTAGATAAGAAATTGGTCTCGTAGGCTTATTTATTTATACCATGCAAGAAGTCATAGGTTTGCATTTTTAAGAAACAGATGGAGATGGTGGCAGACATCGTGAGTGCCCCTTGATTCTCCCCTGTAAGAAAGGACTGGCTGCCCAGATGTGCAGTTAGCTGGCAGCTGTTAATTCCAGGTCCCCCTCATCTTTTGGGCTGAGCACACACTCTTTTCTGGGTGGCCCCAGCCACTGACTAGGTGGTATTAAACTTCTTTACAGTGAAATCTAGAAACTAAAACATGCAAGAGAAGAACTCAGAGCTCACAATCTTACAGATCTTTACCATTTTTCCAATCTTTATGGTTGCCTCACCCACACTTACTTCACTATTATTGTTCTAAAGCATTTAACTTAGTTTTCTTAAAAACAACAACTCTCCCTTTTCACACTCTTTAATTAGCCTTATGTGATAGTTAAATTATGTAATTACAAAAGCAAGAGCAACTGGTATCAAATGGTTTTGGAGCAAACACTTGTTAAGCAGGTGTACTTGTCACAGTGCTGTTTAAACTTTACTGTGTTTACGAATCACCTGGGGATCACTGAAATACAGACTCCTATTCAGTAGGTCTGGGGTTGAGACCTAAAACTCTGCATTTCTACCAAGGTGATACCAGGTGATCACCCAGGTGATGCCAATGCTGTTGGTCCTCGACCACACCTTCTTGAGTAGCTTCTAGCCCTGAGCATTCAGCATTCCATGGGCATCTGCCAGAATGCTTTACGGAGGGAAAGAGGAACATGGTTTCATCTGGAGTATTTTCTTCAGTAATGATAAATGAGGTTTTACTTTGGTCATACACTATGCTAAGTACTTTACATACACTATTTCTTCCAATCCCCTTAAACACCGTATCAAGGAAGATATTATTCCCACTTTATGGATCACAAAAGTAAGGCTCAGTCAGCTAACTTGCCGAGTGTCACACAACTAGTAGGTGGCAAAAGGCATTCCGACTAGGAGAAGGCAGCTATTCTTATTTCCAGTTAAGATTTTAAAAATCAACTAAATAGAAGGAAATGTACTAGTCTGAAAAGAAGACCAGTCCACCTCTCACCTTCTCTAGATCACAGTTCAAGGAATTGTCCCAAAAGGAACACAGAGCAAAAGAGAGAATGCACGAAGTGTTCAAATTCTGAGACTTCTGAACAGATGCTGGGGGAAGTAAACCCATGCCATACTTCATTTGCTGAAAGCAAAATTCTTATCCTTATTAATAGAAACACTTTTCGTGCTTGATATTCTGTCTTATTTATTCATTTATAATGTTTGTGGATTTCTGAGTGCTCATAAGTCCACACATTATGTTAGCCCTAAAATGGATGCGATGTCAAAAATTACAGATGTAAGTTAACAGCCAAACCCAAATTGAGTTGTACTGAATCCTAAACATTTACAAAGTTGCTGATAATCCAGCCCTTTAAATATCTCCAAAAGATACCCCTCTCTACTCTTAAGGACCTAAAAAGGAGAGTCACGTTTACATTTTATCTTAGTCTTTGAATCACTGTTTTACCACCTACAGGAGAATAAAAGCAACACAATAAACTAGGACGATGAGCTAAGAACACAGAATCCAGATGTTCTTAAATTGTTCTTCCTGAACAATAGTACAACTAAAAGCAATTTTCCATTCCACAAAAATGTTCTACTTTAGTTACATGAATTACTAGTTGACAGAATTTCACAGAATAAATTTAACTTCATAATGCACTCTCACAGGAAAACATTTTGCAGATGGTAATTTCAGTCTGTTAGGTATTTATGGCAAGTCTTACTAAGCTTGGCGAATATTTGAGTGCTTACTAGGGGTTAAAGGGTGGTATTGCACCTCTTATCTGTTAGAGAGATGGAGGGTCCTGCATGCTCCCTTCTGCAATAGCCAACCAAATCTCTTCCTCACTTTCTTCAAAAACATGAAACCACCTGGGGGAAACAGAGAGGAAAAATAAAATTTTGTATCTATTATTCTTAAAATTACAATTGACAAGTAACATTTTCACTTTCTTGAAAAACAAGGGTATCTTTCAACAAAAAACAATGACAGGTAAACCTGAGGTGAGGTGTAGCCTGCTTTAATGATCATGAATTTGGAGTCTGAATCCTATCTCTGTCACATGCCATGTCTTGATTTCCACATCTGAAATGAAGCTCTTTCTGGCTTTATAATTCTAAGACCATATGAAGAATTTTCTTAGCAATGATGAAACTTCAAAAACTATAAATACAATGACTGCATTACACTTAACCTTCCAGAGATTATGAATCAAAGAAAACAATCTACAATTATCCAAAAGAGTTACTACAACACTCTTCCATGTTCTAGTACATATCTGTGAGACTAGATTTTCTTTACATACCTCAATCAAAAGCAATATATTTCAACAGACTGAAGGCAGAGGCAGATATAAGAATCCAGTTGCCTTCATTAAGCCAGTCACTAAAGAGATATGCAAACATGTAAAATAATGCCATCCTTCTCACTAAATGTTTTGTTTGGAAAATCACTCAAATTTGTACCTCAGCAAACCACACATTTTTGATCCTTTGGGTTGCTTGTGAGTGGTCCAAATGGCACATTTTAAAATCTAACATGTCAAGAGTCAATTGTATTTCTAAAAATTGTTCATAAGAGATCAGACAATAAATGTGACTGGATCTGCACATCTGCAAGAATGTTCCAAAGTCTGCAATTTTCTGCATACTCTGTAAGAAGAATTTTACCCCCAGGAGGTTCCACTTCCTAGGTGGGTAAGTTTCCAGCTAATCAGTGAACAGATTTCCCCCAAATAAAGTGTCACACCTTCCCCAAACCACTGACTTTTGACTCCTCACACTTTCATCCCGTTTTTATCTTAGAGGGAGAGAGCAAAGAAACTACAGTAAGATAAATTACGTTGCTTAAAAAGACCTCTAGGGCTTCCCTGGTGGTGCAGTGGTTAAGAATCCGCCTGCCAATGCAGGGGACACGGGTTCGAGCCCTGGTCTGGGAAGATCCCACATGCTGCGGAGCAACTAAGCCCGTGCACCACAACTGAGCCTGCGCTCTAAAACCCGCAAGCCACAACTGAGCCCGCGTGCCACAACTACTGAAGCCCATGTGCCTAGAACCCGAGCTCTGCAACAAGAGAAACCACCACAATGAGAAGCCCATGCACCGCAACGAAGAGTAGCCCCTGCTCGCCTCAACTAGAGAAAGCTGTGCGCAGCAATGAAGACCCAGTGCAGCCATAAATAAATTTATTTAAAAAAAAGACCTCTAATTTAACATTCCTTAGAGAGTTCCTTAAAGACTTCAATCAGTCAGAAATCCCTCTAAGATAATGATCAAAATACTAAGCTTTTTGTCCATATAGTCAACTTTTAGTTGTGACATGACATTGTAACTAAAGTCATAGATACCAGACAGATATAATTTCTCCCTCTAGGTAAGGGTAAGAATGCAATATATCTTGAGCATTTCCTAACAGATCCAGTAATCAATAAGGAAAAGAAATTGCATCAAGCCCAGAGTCTGTTATTAGTTGGTATGTACTTCTGGTGAATGAAGTTATTTTCTGAAATCTCCTAAATTCCAAGGAGTATAAAAGGAGGATAACTGGGTTTTTATTGTCTACTGTGTCCCATACTTATCTGGACCAATTTATAGAGAATTAAGAGTACTAGTGTCTTTCTCCACTTTGATCACTTTATTTTTTTAACACCTTTATTGGAGTATAATTGCTTTACAACGGTGTGTTAGTTTCTGCTGTATAACAAAGTGAATCAGCTATACATCAACATATATCCCCATATCTCCTCCCTCTTGCGTCTCCCTCTCACCCTCCCTATCCCACCCCTCTAGGTGGACACAAAGCACCGACTTTGATCACTTTAAATCAGAGCAAGTACCTGAATGAAGTAGAAATAAACTTTCCCAGCTCCCCTGTTGACTACATGTGCTGAAGCAATCACAACTGTAGAGCTCTTTGTCACACAGAAGTTTCAGGTTTACCATATCTCTTCACTTTCTGGAGTTACTGGAAAGAGGTGTTTGGCGTGAGGAGAGAAGGGGATGACATTAAAGACTGTAGGTCTGTCTGGAAACAATTTTAGATGTGTGAATTTTGCAGAGTTTTATGGCTCTACTGTCTTTACAATAGAGTTGGCTTTTGCTATGCATCAGCAGTGGTTCTGGATGGCCCTAAAGGAAATGCAGTCTTTTCAGGGGGTGAATGATGAAGTGCTATTGCTGGGGCAACACATCGGGGTCTAATTATAGGGGATGATTTATTTCCTGGAACCCAGTGGAGGACTGAAAGGGAAATGTGACGGCCTCTGGTCTAGTACCAGCCAGTTTTTTAGCCTCTAAGAGGAAGTTACTCTCAAGCAGAAAATCAAAGGACTGTTTTCACAAATGATTTAGTAAGACTCAGAGCACAAGTAAAAAGGGTCCAGATCCAAAGTGAAGTTCAAAATAGGAAAAAGACAACCAACTCCACACAGACTACAATGTGGCCCCTGGGTAGACTGAGGACTGAAGGGGACACAGGATTGTTTCATACCGTAGGGTTTTGTCATTTTAGCAATTGAAGGTGGTGACAGTTGGGCTGTTTCAGAAGACAACTGCCAGGAGGATCCCCCATGAGGACACGACCCAACGTAGGGCTGTCCCTAAGGCCAGGCTGATGGCCAGAAGACAAAGCGCCTGGCTCAGGGATGAGACAGCGCCCGGCAGAGGGTGTGGGTCACTCCTTGGGGACAACTGTGCCGGGCGCTGGTGCTTTACGGTTACACGCTAGAAGGCTACCAAATAGTGAGTCTTGGAAATTAACGTCAATTGTCTTCATATAACCACAAACTGATAGAAAGTAGACGCTTTCTGATTACACATACTTACCACATATTTGAGTTCACATTAAATGCATCTGAATTGAAGTTACCAAACGTTTGATTTGCAAAACATTTTCAATGTGAGACCACTGTTCTTGAGGTGCCTAGTTAAAATGTCTTTAATTCAGTCTTCTTATCTTTGTGATTTTCTAACATCACCAAACTAAGTCTCTAGGCAGAAACCATTCTCCTTTGCAACGACTGAAACCAAACATCTTAAGTTTTTCTGTGCAAACCCTTACCCTGGCTTCTTTACTGTCACATTTCAGGCCACGATGCTTCTGAAATTAAAAATAAAAATGTTTCCTACATTACAAGAAACCATATCTGAATAGAAACTTACATAAAGTTAAGCACAAATAGTCTCTATTTCTATACTCTTTAAAAGAAATCAGCAAATGTAGGAAGAAAGATCTCTGAAGAAACATTTCAGGTCTCCTGCAGCACTTTGTGTTTAGATGAATTGCCCACTTGCTCCCATCAGTGCTAGCTGTTCTACTGGGTTGAGCTGTATGCATTTTGATGGCAAGATCTAAAAATGAATCACTGTTGCATGAATGTGGCATGCGACCAGCAGCTGGGCTATTACAATGGAAACTCTTTGGGCTTGTGGGACGTGATCACCTTTAAAATTTTACCTTTAAGATCATGTCTTACTTATTTCTCAGCAAAAAATTATCCTCAGATTTCCCACTGCTTTCAAAGGAGAGACTGACAGGTAAAATTTTAGCAGTTTTAATAATTCATGAAAGCAAATAAGGTTACTGGGTAGGTTCTATTTGGATTTCAGCTGTCCAGAGGAAATGGTTAAACGTTTTGGCAAAGGTACGAAACTCAGCTAAATTTGACAGGCCATCAATGGAAGCCAAGTCTTTCTCCACAGAACTGACATGCAGGCTGGAAAAAGAGAACAGGAAATTGTTCTTGACAGTGGACTGAGGGCAGACCTCTGCTAGGATTTGGCAAAGAAAGCATTCTGACAAATTCCTGTGTCCTTGAAGTGCTCGTGTTTTCTTCTTCTTGGGACATAACCCTACCACCGTCCAGAATGACTGCTGCATTTTCTTTATTTCTGCCTTGCTGGGCTCAGTGTTCCACTGACCTCACTCGCCCTGTCGGATGCGCAGAACTTCCTCCAGAGTTCAGAGAAGCAGGTGTCAGAGCAGCGGGAATGTGGCTCTGGGAGAATGTGAGGGCAATGCAGAGATAAAGCAAGAAACTCAAGCCTGAGAACAGGTAATTTAAGTGCCACCCCATATCAAAACTAGTCCAGGTCAAAGAACACATCCCTGTGGTCTCTTAGGAAATTCGTCAAACCTCAGAGACATAAGGACATCTCTGTCCCAGAGAGGATGACATCTAAGTCACCCCTGTCGGAGAAAAACCAAATCCCTTATTTTTTTTAACATCTTTATTGGAGTATAATTGCTTTACAACGGTGTGTTAGTTTCTGTTGTATAACAAAGTGAATCAGCTATACATAAACATATATCCCCATATCTCTTCCCTCTTGCGTCTCCCTCTCACCTCTCAGAAAGCAGGTGCACATCCATCCCAAGGACCAACTCCACCCCCTGCCATTCCAGTACCCAGGAAACACACTACTCCCTGTCAGCTGGGATGGTACCCCTGAGTATTTCCTCAGGTTTTCTAGCCAAACCACTCTAAAGGTCACCAAATCTCATTCTCACTTAACCATTGCTGACACTTCCCGGGCCTGCCAAACACTGGAAAATTTCAAGTTTGAGAATGCTCCTCTCCAGGAGCAAGCAGACCATGGGCTGCTCACATATACAATCAGCACTTTCCAAAAATCTATCAGCTGCTTCCCTTTGTTTGGACTGGTAATGGGCTACACTTCTTTTTCTTTCTCAAAAAATTAGAGAATAAAACACATTTTCATAAAATGACAGAGACTGCTTATAACTTTCAATTTTTTAATGGAACTATTACCTCAACTCTAAGATTCTATTACCAGTTGCCATTGGAATTGTATCTTCTTTTTGTAATTATACATGTCTCTCATGTTAGAGACATCAGTTGGAGATGCTATATTTTTTACGAAATATTTCCACAGCACCATTTCCACACACTCAGCAAAGTTAACAGTCACATTCCATTACCTGTAGCCAGAGGGAGAAAATAATGATGAGGATTACAAATTAGTTCATCCGTCTTCATTTTTCAAGATTCGGTGTTAACAAATTTTCATCCCAAACTGGTTGTGTGCCTTGATGCAGTCACCAAAAAATCCCTTCTGGACTAGCCTCGCTTTAACATGTCACGAAGGGAATGACAGGCTCTATGCTCTACTTGCTCTTTATTTCAGAATTTTCATAATGGTCTTCTCTGAACGTGTGCCTGTCCCAGCACTCAGATATCCTTTCCTTAAATCCCACCTTCCTGCTCTCAGAGAAGATGAAAAAGTTCAAAATAACTGAAGATGAAGAAAAGAACTCAGTTCACAATGCATTGTTAAATCCCTAGTCATTGATGCCACGGATGTGGATGATAGCTCGAGACTACTTCCATCCAACATTCTATTAAGATGCATACATTTACACTCCAATAAGAGCCTAGAGCAATATCTAAATAATTTTATCATAGTTTAAACCGACTTTGTATTAAATCTAAGGGGGGTTATTATTTTGAAGGTCTGCCAATGCAGGAACTGAAGAAATATACACAAAGAAATTAAACTTCGAGTTATTTCACCAGAACTAAGGAAAAAAGTTTAGGTAAACTACACTATCATTCCAAAGAAAATGTTAAGATTTAAAGGATGAATGATTTATCTGCCTTTAGTTGTTGCTAATCTATGGAAAGAAAACTTACATTGCCATACTTTCTAGCCCCATTTCTGTTCTCACAAGGTTCTAACTTCCACCACTTGATCTGCTGCCCTTTATCCCCAGTGGGCAATCAAGTACTACCAAGATCTACTTCCATTCCTTTGGCAGATGTCCATTTGGCTACTTCTCTGGCTCTTATTCCAATTAAAATGTGTCCAGATTGGCTTTGCAGTGGTTCACAGCTGGCCACTTAATATTTACAGGCTATGACTTCTCATTTTGGAAAAACTTCTCCCCTCTAGCAAATGTACAGGTGTGAGTAGAGCGGGGCCGCTCCATGATCCACAAGCTTTATCATGACCAGTTTGCTTTTTACCTGTGGCCTGAATGTGTTTCCCAATGTAGGACTCTGGTGCTAATTCCTAATAACTGAGAAACTTATTCACCCCTCTAGTTCAGTGATCCAATTGTCTCCATTTCAGCCTAGAGTTCAGGCCACAACTTCCTCTCAACAAGGACTGTCTGTCTGCTCTCAGCTAGCAGGGCTAGAATACATCAAACAGCAGCCTGTGAGCCGGTTGAGGGCTGTCTGTCTCCTCTTTGCATGGGGGAAGCGGCTACATCATAGGCAGTGGGGGAGAATCTGTGACACGCTCTCCCTTTCTCCCCTCATTCCTACTACACACAGCCGGAGAGAAGGTGTGGGCAGAAGAGAGCACCAGGAGTGTACTTCAAAAGCACGTCTACATCACACTCAAACAGGTCCGCTTACCTTAACTTCTGTGCTTCTTCTGCTCTATTATAACCATTTCAATCAGACACTTTTGCTGTGATAAGAAATATACCATCAAGCAGAAACATGGCTGTTTGGTTTTTTTGTTTTTTTTTTCATTCACCATCACGTTTTTATACAGGAGAGGACTGAGATGCAAATGGAACTGTCCCTAAGTTTGGAAAAGTGGTCATCAACGAAGTCAGATTAAGTAAATAAATAATTGGGCTGAGTTAACACCAAGTCCTTGGTTCTCTGTGTTCCCCAAGGAATGCCTCAGACCCTATGTCCATGCGAAGTGCATGCTTTTTGAAGTTTAGCTTTTCCCCTTTTCTTCAGCTCTCAGCTAGACCCTCCCAATAAGCCATGCCCCGGTCAGGAAGCAGAGCATGCAGCAGCATTCAGAGCATATTGAAGGGAAAGAAGGAAGGCACTGGATGCATGGAGAGGCTGAAGAAGCTAAAAGGAGGGTACGTTTCTAGTCCTATTACAGTCTTCCTTCTCTATCAAATGAACCTTCCCTGTCTCCTAGCTCAGAAGGATACAGATTACATGGAAAGTGTCAAAGGTTGCTTCTGATTTGGACCTAAGGGTTGAGACCTATTTTGCCATTTCTAGCATAAACCAAGCAGAAATCTGAAAATGACTTTCTTGGGGAAATAGTGGGCCACTGTAGTTGAACTAGAGGGTCAATACAAGAGACTCAAATACAATGCAAAGACTTTCATAGCATTTAAGAGGGGCAGTGGCATACTGGATGGAAGGTGGCAAATATTTGAAACCTATACTCAAGTTGAATTGAGTATAGTACTTATTCAAGCAAGAAATACCAAGAACCTGCAATCAGCCAATGCTTGTGTTAAACAACAACAAAAAGGCACATATGAAAGGAACTCTTTAGACAGAACCAACTAGAACTGGTATTTCACAGAATGTAGAAGATGAAGGAAAATGAGGAGGTGAAATGGTCTCAAGATTTCCAGCCAGTGACTAGAAGGATGTTTATGGCATTATCTAAGAGAGAATTCTGGGAAAGGAAGAGGTTTGGAGAAAGGATGTAGGTGAAGAAAATCTTGGGTTGGGTTAATAAAGAGTTTCAAACATAAATGACAGCATGAATAACATGATCCAAGTTGGTCAAGAATTGTAAAGACTGACATTTTAATCTTTTTCTTGCTGTAATTTATATAGTCTTACCAAAAGTCAGTTCTTATTGGTAGATTGTTAACTAAAGATATATTAAACCTGCTCTCCCCAAGACTCTGCTCCCCCCTGAAGGAGATAACAACCAACCAATTACGACTATGAATCAAGATGTCTAGAATCAAGGCAGACTATATATTCACACTTCTCTGATAGCCTCTAATTATAAGTAAATAAGTGAGCATATGAAATTTCCTATGTTATTAAGTGAACTCATAATGATAAACCATTAGAATAAGCATGGTCACCATTTTCACAACAACCAAAAAAATTTCACCTTTTTTTTTTTCTGAAGACTAGGGTAGACACAGTTGGGGAAGGAGGAATATTACTTACATTATGTTCATGTTTAGAATTCCTTTACAAACTTACCATATTATATCACTTATACGTGGAATCTAAAATATGATACAAATGAAATTATTTACAAAACAGAAACAGATTCAGAGACATAGAAAACAAATTTATGGTTACCAAAGGGGAAAGGGGATGGGGGAAGGATAAATTACAAGTTTGGGATTAGCAGATACAAACTACTATATATAAAGTAAACAATAAGGTCCTACTGTATAGAACAGGGAACTATATTCAATATCCTGTAATAAACCATAATGGAAAATAATATGAAATTATATATATATATATGTGTGTGTGTGTGTGTGTATATATATATATATATATCTGAATCACTTTGTTGTACACCAGAAACTAACACAACGTTGTAAATCAACTACAGTTCAATTAAAAAAAAAAAAAAGAAAAAGGAATGGGATTCTAAACAGAGGAATTTGGCAGGAAAGAAGAAGAAGAGCCAAGATCCTGTAAACTCTATAAAGAGCTGGGCCCAATGGAGTACCACCACAGGGGGTCACCAGACACTAGTTTCTTGGCAAGTTTGTGGCTGCATGTAGAAGAAGAGAGTAGCCCTCAAGAGAAAAGGAAAAGAGGCCTAGCTCATGATTTAAGCTTACGTTAACTCGTCTTCCACTTCCCAGGGAGGTAGAGGAAAACAATGTTGATATTTAGATCTCCCCAAACTGGAAAGAAACCAACCCGTGGAGAAGAGCCAAGAGATAAGTGTGGGCTTCAATTTCTGTTTCCAAATGAGAAGGCGCTCAAAAAGCCACTGAACTGTCAAGAAGAATTTTGAAGTTAGAATGTTTAATCATGTTAACACACACTAATCAAATGTACTAAGTTGTCTCCAAACTGGCTGAGAAGACAGGACACTGACACTTACTTAGCCCACATATGTTGGAAATCAAGCAGCAGGTAGTCTTGCCTATAACAAAGACACTGTGGAAGATGTGGGGTTTTTTTTGTTTGTTCGTTTGTTTTGTTTTGTTTGTTTTAAAAGCATGCTATGAGCTTCCACTTCCAGGAAAATGGAATACATGTGAATTTCTCACAGTGGCTCTAATGCCATTGTAAGCAAACCAAAACCCGAGCCTGCAAATGCCTCAAAGTTACAAAATTAAAACACTAAGGACAGCCAATCACAAACAGCCAACTATAATCAAGCTATAGCCAATCAAGTAATTTTTTCCTTTGGTCGCCGCTTTTTCTATTTAAGTCTTCCCCCAGGCTCCTTTCCTAACCACTTCTGGTTTGGGCTGCTGCCCAGTTAGAATTGATTTTTGCTCAAGTCAACTCTTAAAGTTTTTAATATGCCTCACTTTATTTTTGAAAATCCTTAACATGTGCTTGTGAGTTTATTTACCTAGTTTTAATTGCTGTCTTGTCCTTTCCACAATCCCAGTGAGTCCCCCTTCTGAGACTGCTAATGAAGCCGGCTGCATGTAATACACTCTGTTTCCTCCACTGTGCTGCTTCCTCCCATGACCCTGATTATTCCCCCAGTGTTGGCTCAGCTTGTGTACTATTTCCAAGCAGGCTGTGTTTCACCGAATCTTCCCCCATGGATTAGATTTTCAAGGCCTTTGGTCATGTCTGCTACTTATCTCTGGAACTCCTTCCACTTTGTCTACATTTCTTAGGTAATGAGATGGTCAGGACTGAATACATTACTCACCAAAGTGGGACAGAAGGAACATTCTGCCTCCCAAAATTATGATGAAATTCCTTGAGCTATGCTTTTTAATAATTTTTTAAAAATATCCATCTCCCATTTAAGATTTGAATATAATTTTCTGTCTACTGATAACTTCGGTTGCATTTCTGTTCCCTGGATTTATCCTACTAGTTCAAAAGATACTTGTGAAAATATTTCTCTGGATGGATTAGCTTTAGTTTGTAGAGAGTATCATATTAATTGGATCATTTCTATATTCTTAATTTTCCAATTTTCAATTTTAAAAAAGTGATTTTCAATCTGAATATAACCAAAATTTTGCATAAGGGGAAATTAAAAAGTACTTTTAAAAACGTAACATCTTTTAGGAATACCCTATTCGAAATCATCATGTTTAGAGAGTGCCAAACTAAATCTGTTTACACAACAAATTCCTACAGATTGTTTAGAACTAGGATTAAAAGGTATTATAATTAAGCTTTGGCTTTGACACAGCATCAAAATTAACAAAGTGCTTTGCAGTTTACATAGTCTTCAATTTCTTTGTGAGTGGAAAGATATTCTCCAGTGTATCAGATCTAAGAGGGATTATTCTATTCCCAACAATTTGAATTATGAAAGTTCATATAACTTTAGAATCTTTAGACAATGTGAAGTAATCAATAAAATAATTTTCAAAGAATATTATTAATTCAAAAGGCATATGCTCTTAGTGATTCTTTAAAAATAAGAAAGCCCTCTATATGTAGTAGTAAACATGAATAAAAACCCAATGGTTTTATCAAAAAAACAAAACCCCAAATAAAGAAACACCTCTTATCCATCCAGGCAGCAGAGGAGGCAGGGTAAAGTCAATCCACCCAAGATCAAATGTTTTACCAAAAGTAAGAAAACATGTAGTCATTAAGAAAGGTCTTATAACCACAAAAAGAACTATCAAAAGCAAGAAATAGTGATGCGACAAGGAAAAACTGTAACTGCTGAGGCTTAAAACATTTGTAAATTGTGCCTTTTGGATACTGAACATGATATTTATCAACAGTGAATGAGGACAAAGAAATTATCCATAAAGGAAAGACTGTATAAGGCAAATGTTTGTCTAAAAACACGAGGCAGGAAATGTTTTTCCTCTTTTTTTTTTAAACATATAAAGCACAGGTCAGTCCCTGCCAAAGAGCAGCACAGATTCACTTAACTGAAGCACTGACTTACTTTTTACCTGAAAGATTTCAGAATATCCTATGTTCATTACAAGTGGTAGATCGAGTATAACAAAGGTGGATTAATACCAACCATCCTCCTAGGAAAGACTTGAGTAGAAAGTAACATAACTCTTATGACTTTGACACAAAAATATACACAGCAATTATTCTTCCCATGGATAACGTAAATACTGCCATCTGATTTTAAGTGGCTTATTGTTGGCACTCTTTCTAAGGAAGTTTGAAAGTATTTCTGAGTAAGTACTGATCCGATAAAATACTGATTGATGGAAAACATCAATAAATAATACTCCAATGTTGATAGACTACAATCTGTTTACATCTGGTTTTCTACCTTTTGGTGACTTGTCTTGACTGGAGACCTAATCAGCATAAGAAAATTCCTAAATTTGTGTAGGGAGGAAAGATGCTCTGGGGCCTCCCTCCCAATTCTCAATACTCAATGTAAGGCCAACTTCAGACATTGTTACCAAACAAGGATCTTAGCTGCAAGTGACAGAAAGCCAACTCAAACCCGTATAACAAGGAAAAAAGGAATGCAATGGCTCATGTAGCTGAAAAAGCCGAGGTTGAACTGGGTTTAGGCATACTAAGATCCAGAAGTTGAAGGTATCAAGAGGACTCAGTCTCTCTTTCTCCTCTCTGAGTTCTACTTTCTTCTGTATTAGCTTTGTTCATTGGCAGGCCCTCTCCATTTAATAATCCCTGGCATTTCCAGCTTCTCTTTCCCCGATTCCAATTAAACCCCAGAAAATAAGTCTCATTGGCTATGCCTGAGTCACATTTCCATGCTTGCAGTCACAAGGGGGTGTAAGAGTCAATGTAACCCATCTACAAGGACCAAGAATGAGAAAGGCGGTTCCCAAAAGGAAAATCAAAGTGCTGTTAGGAAAAAGAGGAGAAAGATGCTGGGCAAGCGAAACCTAAAAGGTGCTATCAAAAGTAGTCAGGACCCGCTGGCTACGTGTAGCAACCCCAAACTAACTTATACAGTGAAGATGAGAGATTCAATTCCCAAAAGAAGAGAGATTTGCAACATGCCACACTACAGGCATACCTTAGAAATACTGCAGTTTTGGTTCCAGACCACCACAATAAAGCAAACATCACAATAAAGTGAGTCACACGAAATTTTGGTTTCCCGCTACGTATAAAAGTTACATTTAAATGGATAAATGTAGTGTATAGCACAGGGAACTATATTCAACATCCAGTGATAAACCATAGCAGAAAAGAATACGAAAAACAATGTATATAAATAAACTGAATCACTTTGCTGTACAGCAGAAATTAACACAACATTGTAAATCAACTATACTTCAATAAATTTTTTAAAAGCTATGTTTACACTATACTATAGTCTATTAAGTGTTCAATAGCATTATGTCTAAAAAACCCAACCTACATACCTTAATTTTAAAAAAAATACTTTATTGCTAAAAAGTGCTATCATCTGACAACTCAAGCCTTGCTGCAAATCTTCAATTTGTAAAAAATATGTTATCTGTGAAGCACAATAAAGTGAAGTACAATAAAACGAGGTTTGCCTGTATAAGGTTCTATTTCTATTATGGCCCCTATAAATATACCTTCCATATCTCTGAAAGCAGATATAGAAAATAAATAAATAGATAAGTAAACATCACTCTGATAACTATATTCTAATGAGGGAACTCTTACGGCTTCTCCAGGTCCTGCCTTCTGTGCACTACCTGCAAGTAGGGTTATCTTCCAATACAAACCTGTCTCGTAAAAAAAGTTTCCTTAGAAGGTACAAGCATCAGTTCGATTCTAGTGCCTATAAGTGCACTTGTAATAGCCTGAAAGTAGACTTAGTATCTATGGAACATCCTATTTTCCTTTTTTCTTTGACTGCCAGAAAGGTGACATAAATTCTGTATTATTTCAGTAATAAGTGAGTAAGTGAAACTGTACAGCTCTTTTCCCTCCACACATGACATCTGATTTTTTTATATGTACGTATGCTTTATATGTATAGACATATTCAAATTACTTTTGGAAGTACAATGGGGCATATTTTAGAAAAAAATAAATATTTATAAGTGTCAATCCAGAAAATCTTTCTCTGTACACTACATCTGATTCCTCATGGTCATTCCCATTACAGCACAAGTTAGAAGACCTTTCAGGAGTTGGTCTATATCAAGGAAAA